ATGCCACTGGTTAGAGTGAGGTAGCTCACCTAGTTTCTCCATGACCATCACTTAATATTTGTTGGTAGGCCAAGAAATTAGTAACCAGTAAAAGGTTGGTCAATGGACAGGGAGAGGGAAGATACTTGTTCAAAAGGACATGGATATTTTGCCATTAAAAAAAAATATCTTTCATTACACTTACAAAGCAATAGGTTCTTCTTAAAGCTCAACACTTGTTAATGTAAAATAGGTGATTCTATTTAAAATAATAATTCTCAGTTCATTTGAGCAGGTATCCACAGAGAGCAGAGTCTTCAGTTTGCAATGAGAATGTTTATCATATTCTCTTCTCCCTCATGTTGTGACAAGCACAGCCCACACAATATTTTGCAGACTCATTTGTCTCTGTAACAGTCTCTTCCTCAAGAGTTACAAGTCACTGCTGGGGATTCACTGCTGTGCTGACAGTGCTGTGGTGCTACTGCTGCTACAACCATTCGGGTACCATAAAGATCACGAAGGACTTGGTTGCTCCTGTCTTCTGCACTGAACATCATCTTTTTCCCATCCCTTCCCATTGGAAGAAGGTGGTTCTGCCTTCCTCTGCCTTAGGCAGTGCTTTCCTATCTCTGCCCATGATTTTCCAGTAAGTAAGTCAGACACTTCTCGGATCTACCACATCCATGTGTGGTTATGCACACTACGTAAGTCAAGAGCTACCACATCTGCATTACCAGATTTGCACCATCAGCTACTCCATCTGTGTACAATGAACATGTCTAGGTTTCTGGACCCACCACAGACCTGCTGGTGCATCATAGCTCAGGTCGGTCTTAGGTCTTGACAAAATAAGTACAGGCAAATTTTCTATAAGGTATAACAGAGCATGTTCAACAGATCAAGACGTCTGCCAGTTTTCCTCTAGCAGCTTAGCCAGCTCTATCCCACTAAAGGAATGGGTTGTCACAGCTCCTACTTTGATCTGAGGGCTAGGGAGACATTTCTTCAGTCACCTTTGGGAAAGGAGAGGGATTGTCAACATCTACAGGGCAAAGGCAAGATTTATTCTTAGGCCTCAAAATATGCTCAAGCCCCCATGCCAGAGAGATTGCAAGGTTCAGCTTACGTTGAACATCTCCTCTCACCACAAATGGTCACTGCCTGGAAAAGAGACTGTGGCACTGCCCTAGAAGAACATCTAACACCAGTCTGGTGGTAACGGAAGGTGGGAGATGATTCAAATGCTGCCTCTGCATTTATGAGACCTGACAGTTCTGCTAAGGCTTCCAGCTGAACAGAAATCAAAGTGCATTGTGCATAACCACTTGAGAAAGTTCAGCTACAGGATTTGAGGTGACTGCAATGAATTTACATAGAGGCAAGGTGAAGTATTCTACTAGGTTAAAACAGCACTGCCACTCCTCTTCCCTGCTTTAACAGCTTCTCCTTTATCCCCAGTCGCCTTGGATTAAGTCCACCAGCCCTCTATGATGTGCAGATAACACCGTGAACTAGGTTTATCAGGGGGATTTCAGAGGGTGTTAGGCACCTGAGCAGGTCAACAGATCCTGATCTATCTGCCTATACCTCTTGCACAGCCAGGAGTTGCCTCTGGAGTCCCACAGCAACTTTCCCATTGCACCACTGGCATGATTTTCTACCTCATTACATGCATTCATTTCCAGTTGGATCCTGATGACTTGTCAACTACTGAAAGCAGTGGGACAATACAAGAACAAATGAAAACTACTGGAATTTAAAAGAAATGGAATATTTTCCCATGGGTCTCCATAACCACCTGGGTGTGCTGCTAACACTGATGACCCCAAACTGATCTAAAAGCGTGGTTTATTGCTCTCGGAGCAGACTTCAGAGGCCGTTCTCTGCCACAGAGGAGGAGAAAACATATAATCCAAAGGACATTAAATGACAGATGGAGACGCTCTCTCCACTAGTGGATAATAATGCAAGGACTGCATTGAAACAGGCACTTCTCTTCTAGCTGTATGAACAATCTGGATCAAGTGCTGTATGCTGAGATTGCTAGCAAAGGAGAAAGCAAACACAAAAATATTGCAAGCACACATGTGTTTGCTTCCAGTATACCACAGCACTAAATCAGGTCATGTTGTGTCCCGTCGGCTTCTATAAACATGAGGTGGGCTGTCAGGATGTAATGCGAGATGGCACCCAACCCAATTTAACTTTTGCTTAAATTAAGTCAGGGATTACCGCTGAGATAGCTAGCACTTTTGCATGCATAGAAAGCAACAGCTGCAAAACTACCTGCTTCAAGAGAGGTTTGAAACCACACACAGATTCTGTCTCCTGGGTTTACTACCTGCTGTGGAAACCACACATCCTAACAGGAGCTGTCTGGCAAGAATTAGCACTGGAAGCAGGTTGGCTTCATCAATCAGATGCCAGCCTGAGATCCAGAAGGCATGAATTTGACTCTTTACTGCAGCACAGACTCCCTGGTGATGCTGGTCTCTCTGAGCATTGGCTCCCTCCTTGAACTTTTGAGGATTATCAGTGCAGGCAAACTAGTCTTGTGAGAGAGATGTCCAGAATAAAACACATTATGTGATGATATGTTCCAGCACTACACTATCAAGGGGGCAGATAAGTGTAAAAACAAGTACATTATTCCCTCCTGCAACTCTGAGCTCCTTTCCACTAGATTAAAAATTAAAAGCAGGGTGATAGAGACTTTAATAAGAGTCCTTTACAGTTGTGGAGGTATGCACAGGATTCCCCCTGGAAGTGTGCACGGAGATCGGTGAGCCAGCAGCAGAAAATCATTTCTTTTGTGGCAAGAGCCCCTGATTTCAGCTCACTGAAGCTGAATTCCTCTTTGTTTCTGGGCTTTGTTTCTCACTTTTCATAATGGAGGTCAGTTTTCACCCCCTGTGGATCGCTTGCAGAAAGCAGAAGTGTCATGTTAGAAAACAAGGACTACACGGCATGTCTTGGGCCTTCAAGACCCTTCCTTTGGAGTCACTGAATAATACCTTGCATACTACCTTTCTCAAAGGGTCTTCCTAATTTCCTTTTTAATGTGTTTCATTTCCAAGCTCCATGACATGTATCTTACCTTTTACTTGTAAGTACAAGTATTAATTCACAGTTAGCATTCAAAGTATTTAAGCTTTGCCCTCAAATTCATCTTTTTTGAGGTCTAAATAACTCCTCAGATCACCTTCATCCTACATGACAGATTTGAGATGTGTACCTCAGCAGTTCCTCAGTGTCCTCCTCAGGACCTATGTTCAGCACATACTCCCTGTTCTCACAGGCAGCTGGCAGCAGTAGTGAGTCACCCAGTCTTACCACCCCACCAAGGTCTGGGTCTTCAAATAGTTTCAGATCTAAAAGGGAACCAGAAAATGCTGTAGTTAAATCATGCTACGTAACACAATACCTGCATTAAAACAAGCTAGTAAATCTGACTACTGGGCTGAAAAAAAAGATCAGGTAGACAATTATTTTTTTACAAGGACTTCCATTCCACAAAGTGCAGTGATACTCTGGGCTCTCAGGACTTGGTAAATCTGCTTTCTTCCTGCACGCAAAAGTAGGTCACGTTACTCTTCTTGGAGTGGCATTGAGTGACTGTGTGACAGTCAGCTCCCACAGACCTGTAATATCCCAGCCCAAAATGTCAACAGTGAATAGCTACGGGGACTACAGGTCTTATTTACTCTTTCTGAATGATTCTAGATTATTCTGCCCCAGCTGAAGATTTGCCTTAACATTCCCAAGTCATTATTTAGCCTGTATACTCTGTATCACTACATTTTAAAAGCTCAGTTATATACATGCTTTAGGTAAAACAACCTGTGTATATAAAAATATAGAACAGATTTACTCTCTTTCATCTTCTTTCTGGGACCAGTTGATGAGAAATCTTTTTCTGGGCCAAAGAGTCCTTCATCCGGATCGACTTCCTCTTCAAAAATGGTTAGTTTAGGCTTCTCTTCCTTGGTTGGCAGAGCAGATGTTTTCTTTGGTTTTTTAGTTCTAAAACATAACAGACAAGAAAGTCAGCTGCAATTCTCCATTTAACAAGAAAGTCTCATAAGCTGAAAATAGATGGAGGCTGGGAAAGGATTAGAGAAAGTTATATAGGCATCTGTTAGTTGCTGGCAGAAACAGGATATTCAGCTGGAGGGACCATTGGTCTGACATACTCTACCTGTACTCATGTTTTATATTCTTAAGAACTATCAAGGAACCCAATGGGAACTGGCAGAGTAGGGCTAACAATGCTATACTGTGCAAACTACCACTCAGTCACATTTGTTTTAAGCAGTTTTACTCCTCTCACACAGAAAGCTTAAAATAAGAAAGACCAGTTCCAGCAATATTGTCATAGACAGACAGAAAAGGGATGGCTTGAAAAATAAAGTGCAGGTTGGATCATTGCACTGATCCTTTTGGACAGTTTTTTTAAAATCTCTTTGGCTCTATTTCTTTGCCAGTGCCTGCTGCTGGTTTTGACTGCTCTATACTCCTTTCATGTAGGTGTTGGACACTCTATTCATCCTCCCCAAAGGAGACATGATACAAAGACTACATCATCTTTAAGTTGAAGCAAACAGGGACTAGAAGATACTTGGTTGGACAGACTGCTATTTGCAGAATTTACAAATGTCACTTGGTACTTTGTTGAACCAAGGACAGGATTAACTTCCTCTAAATTTACTCTTCTAAAAATTTGACAGTGAGACAAAGTTAATTTTTAGGGTTCTTCTCAGTGGAAAGCGACATACATCTCCATAGGACAATTAATCCCATCTATTTTGAACACTGATACTTGGATGCAATAAATCTCTGAAGATCTCCTCCTCTCCCCACTGGCTGAAGAAGGAAGTTAAAAACTACTTTGGATTAGAGGTCTCATTTGCACATGGCTTAAACAATGAGAGCTGAGTCCCCTTCCAAGAAGAGAGTGAAAAGCATGTGACTTGCTCTCATACCTAGGAGTCACGTTGCACCAGTTGAAGCTACAAGACAGCTTTCACAGTAGGGCAGCTTGAGCTATGAGGCAAATCAGATGGCATAAAAAAGAAAATTTAGACAACAGGACAAAAACTTTTGGGTGAAAAGTCCAATTTTAAACTAAGCTGAAAGAGAAGCATTCCTCAGGACAGCATGTCCTTCCTAAGAAATTGCCATATTTCAGAGATCCTTACTCTCAGCAGTCATGGCCTTGCAATTTCTAAGTTAGCCCCTTTGAGTGCTTCTTACAATAGATCTGATCTTCTCCTTTGCAGAGAGCAGGTCAGGTTTCAGCCTAGAGCAAACCCAATTATGAGCACTTAACATGCCATAGTCATCAAAAACTAAGAACAAGGTCAAAAGATTACACATACATTCCAACTACATTAAAGAATCTTGTAAAATCCTCTTCAGA